TGTGCCTTCTTCTAATTCTCATAACAAAGACCCCAAGTTGCTAGCCCAGTTGAACACTGTCACCTTCCAGAGGAAGTATTTTTTCTAATTCTCACAAAGGTTCCCTATGGGTTGGCGATACCCTTGGTGAGGACAGGGAAGGGGGAAGAGGCCCATCCACGGTGGTGAGGACTGCACCGCACAAGTGTCTGGTTCATGCCCTTTTACAAAGCCCTTTTGGACACATCTGGTTTAAGCAAACCTGCGAGATAGGCAAGCCCTCTCCTATTTTATGGATGAGAAAGCCGAGGCCCAACAAGGGGAAGCATTTTGGCCCAAGGTCACCTATGTAGCACTGAGGCAAGCCTTGAACAGAGCTTTTTTGACTCCAGATTCAGTGTGCTTTCCTCTTCACCCCTTCCCTCCTAGACACAGGTATCTCCAGCCAATCTGTCCTCTGCCTCAGTTTCCTTCTTTGCAAAAATAGGAGAGGAGACCAGGGGGATGAGTCTTGGGATCCAGGGTGAAGGAGAATGAAAGAAAGAAAGCACAACCTAACAAAAACACCCCCTAGCGTTTAGTCTCCTGGTACTATGGGAACAGCTGGACTCTTCCTGATCCTGCTGCCTTCCTAGCAGGTGGTACTCCAGGAGCACCTGCCCACCCTACCCCCAGCAATCTCCCTGCCAAGTCTGCTGCACCCACCAGCACCTTGCCTCCGTTTCACCCACCACTGCTTATTTCCCAGATCCCTGGGTCCCCAATCCTTCCCTGATCCCATTCCCTGAGCAGGTCAGAGGCGGGAGGGTGTCAGGTGGGCGTCTTAGCTCCAGGGAAGGAAACGGCTGTTCCTAGCTCTGTCCAGGTGGGGCTCAAAATAGTCATCTTCAAAGAGAAAAACTGGGACATAGGAAGCTGGGCAGACCCAGAGCCCTCTGGGGGGAGGGAGGTGCTGCGATGCCAGGCTGTGGGGATCTCAGGGCTTTTCTCGGCGCCAAGCCCCCACTCCCCAGTGAACCCCTCCTCCAGCCCTGCCGGAACCACCCCCCCCCCCCGGAACCCCCCCCCCCCCACACCTACCTTGAAAACCCCTCATCCTCCCAAGAAGATAAGTCCCACTTTCACAGAAGACAATCCTCTCTCATGGAAAAAACAAATCCCCCAGAAAGGGGTACCCCAAACCTGTCTCCCCCAGACCTTCCCTCCATCCATCTCTTCCGAGTGAAAGCCCTTGAGCCTCTTTCATGAAAAAGCTCCCGGGTCCTCCCTTCAAGGAAAAAGGACCCGATTTCCCCGCGCCTTCCGCCGCCCACGTTTCCAATAGAGGGGAAGCCTGGCTTCTCCCGCCTCCCCTGAGCTGCCCTCACCTGGCCGGGGGCGGCGGTCGGGTCGGGTTCGGTCCGAGCCCGCGATGCGGCACGGGGCTGCGGGCTGCGGGCTG